GCTGATCAATTTTTCCAAATCCCGGGAGACATTATTTGAGAAAAAAATCTTTGACTTCTCTAAGCTCACTTTCTGGCCTGAGGACACGCAAAAGGTCTCCAAAATTTTGCGTATAACCCGAACTTGAGCTACGGATGCTTCCGCGAAAAGAATAAGATCGTCAGCGAAACAAATATGGGATAGTTTCGGACCTCCTTATGATAGACAAATCGGCTTCCACTCCTTAGCGGCAATCGACCTATCAATCATATGACACAATCTTTCAAGACATAGGACAAAGAGATAGGGAGATAGGGGGTCTCCCTGTCGCAGTCCCCGAGAGGGCTTAAAAGCCTCAGTCTTTTCGCCATTCCATAAAATTGTCATCGATGGCCCAATAACACACTTTAAGATCCATTGTACCCATCGCTCCTCAAAACCCGCAGCTCGTAAGGTCTCCTCCAAAAACTCCCACCGAATTCGGTCATATGCCTTTTCCAAGTCCAACTTTAGAAGCATCCACCCCTTTCTTCCTTTTTTCCTCCGCATTGAGTGCACTGATTCTTGAACAACCACAATGTTGTCTTGACTTAATCTCCCAGGAATAAAACTAGATTGTGCTGGTCCAATTAAATTCCCAATCACCTTCGTTAACCTCAAAACCATTGTCTTAGTAATTATCTTAAACAAGACATTACAAAGACTTATTGGCCTGAATTGAGTAATTCTCTCCGGTTTAGCCACCTTGGCGATAAGAACAACAAGAGCATCATTTGTGTTTTCCGGTAAAACTCCCGTCTCAAAAAACTCCAACACAAACTTCACCACTGATTCCCCCACCGTATCCCAGCAGTCATGGTAAAATAATGGTTGGTATCCATCCGGACCTGGAGCTTTAAATCTACCCATACTCCGGATGGTTTTCCACACCCGAGAATGGCTTACTCAAACATTGAGTCTCCGCTTGTGTAAGCCTCGGAAAACCATCCATAGGCAGCCCATTTAATACTTCCGGAACATCAACTAGAGAATACAGCCGCTGATAGTACTCCACCGCCATTTCCTCAAGTTCTCGAGCATTCGTAACCCAAATATCATCTCCATTCTTCAACATTTCAATCCGATTCTGCCGCCTCCGAATTATTGTTGTTGTATGGAAATATTTTGTATTACGATCACCAAGAGCGATCCACTTCTCTCTTGATTTCTGGTACCATATGGTTTCCTCTTGTTCCAACACCTCATCAAAAGCCTTAATTAAATCGTCTTCCTTGCGTAACAAGTCATCCGATTGAGCTATTTCCAACGCATCTTGAACCGATTTTATCTCCTCCATCAAAGACTCCTTCTTCTTCTTAACATCACCAAAGACATCCCAGTTCCACCTTTTTAATTTAACTCGCAGCTCATCTAAGGCTTCTGGAGTTCTCAAATTATCATCCACGATGCCGTCAACAAGTCTTTAAAACTCGGGTGTTGTAACCATGCCGCCTCAAACCTGAATGGTCGTCTACTCGCATCTCGTATGACGTCGGGACACAGTTGGACGTACAAAGGCGCATGGTCTGAGGCGAGAATTGGTAAATGTGTTACGCTGGCCTCTTGCCACTTCAACCGAGAGTGAGCACAACACATAACCCTATCCAGCCGCTTTGCTACAAAGGTATCTTCACCTCTTCCTCGTTTCCAAGTAAACTTGTTCCCTCGAAAACCCATGTCTATCAAGGATACACTGTTTATCCATTCCCCAAAAGCCAAAGAGTCCGGAGACAATCTACCGTTCCCACCAGACCTTTCATCAACTCGCACAATCGTATTAAAGTCCCCGCCAATTATTATGGGGCCGTTTATACCCTGGATCACCTCTCTTAACTTATCCCAGAGTCCACTCCTCCTACTCACCGACGGAGCTGCGTAAACCACGATAAGATTCAGTTCCTCCTCTCCGTTCTTTATTTTCGCAAAAACAAACTGATCCGATGACTCAACAACTTCAACATCACCGATACCCGATCTCCATACTAGCCATATACCACCACTCTGACCCACAGCCTCCACTCTGAAGACATTTTCGAACCCTAGTCCCTGACAAATCCGCCGTGCTCTGTCTCCACTAGCATGAGTTTCAAACAACGCAAGTATGTCAGTCATAAACTTCTTCAACATATAGCGAATCGCTCTTCGAAAATTGGGTTTATTCGCCCCCCGGCAATTCCATAGCATGCAATCCATCATTAACTTGAGAATTAATAGACACCGAACTACCGGGGCAAATTGTTATGCTTCACGCAGCTCCGCCTCCTTCTCCGGAAACGGCGAGTGCATAACAACCTCCGTACTCAACGATTGATCCGTCAATTCATTATGAGCTGCCACAGTCGACTCGTTCTGGCTCTGTAGCGAATGTACCAGCTCCATTGAAGTCGTAGCTCCATTCGAAAAATTTCCCCCTGGTCTCCCAACACCACTCTTGTCCATTCGCAATCTCTTCCCCGACACACATCGCTCATACTCTTCTGTTACTAGGCCAAATACCAGCCCACGAGCTGGTCTGTTTTGTTGGATATTAAGTTTAGGCCCATTAATACCAACATGTTTAATTCCACCAGCCCACTTCCCTTTGGGCCTACCTTTCAAACCCACATTTCCTTTCCCGCGCCCAGCCTTTTCCACAAAACCTCCTTCCTTTTCAGACACAGCATTCACTCCTTCCTTACTTGGCGCGACATTCTTCCCTTTTCCAAATTGAATCGGGACATTCTCCTTTACCTTATTCGCACCCTGAGATTTCGCAACTTCCCTTATCCCAACCTCTGTGATCTCCTCTTCCAGATTCCCAAATCTGTTAGCAGTCACGACATTCGTTGAGATCTCTTGGAGATTTCTTTCCAAGTCTGATCCTGAATTTCTGTTCCCGGGGCCCACTCGATTCTCCCTCTGCCCCGACTTCCTCCCTGCTCGCCGGACAACCGTGAACCCATCATTCACCACCGGTGATTCACCCGACTCGTCCCTCACCACCGTTTGAGTCGTCTCCTTGACTTGCTCTACCGGTTTTCCTTTATTAGATCAATCATGGGAGTTGGAATGTTTATATAGGAGACTCGAGCGATTTTGGATACGGAGTGGATTTTGTTTTTTATTCGATAATTATTAAAATTGTAGCACTCTTAATTTTCTTGTATACGAAATTCGAGTGATGATATCAGTGTCTAAAAGAAATGTTTTTAGTTTGTAACACACATAGGAGAGGTGTTTTTTTTTTTTTTTTGGATAATTGGTTTGACAGGACAGGAGTTTGGTGTTGAGACTTGGTATTTGCGGCGAGGGGGGAGCAGGGGACAAAGAAAAAGTCAAAGTTGAAAAGCTTAAAACCACACTATTCATACTCTTTCTAACCTAAAATTAATAATAGACAGTAAATCAATTGTTAGGGTTGATATATAATTGCATAGTTAGTGTCACTTATTATATACTCCATCCGTTTCAGTTTAGTTGTCGTTTTAGGATTTAAATTTTGTTTCATAATAGTTGTCGTTTTAGGTTTTCAATGCAAATGTTTGGTGAAAATTCTAGTTTTATCTCTATTGTTTTAATGTTTTGGCCAATAAATTTTTTTATAAATTATATTAATAAAGGATAAAACAGAAAATTTAATGTTTTTCTTAATTTGTGTGAAAAAACTTTAAACGACAACTAAAACGAAACGGAGGGAGTATTAGGTAACTTTATTAACAGTTTGTGATTCAGACTCATTAAAACTGCCATTATTATTCAGACTCATTACGATCGATGACCTTTATTTCCTAATCAACTATACAACGATGATGTGTCATATTAGGATGATGGTTTATAACACAGATATGTGGCCATATAGTGTGCATAATTGTTGATCTCTGATTCGATAATTTCATTTCCGAAATGAGCAACGAGCATTTAGATTGTTTTTTTTAATCTCAATTGTCTACAATGCTCGTTAGACATTGTGAAACTTTCAACTCGTGTAGCTAGAGGTCGAGGGTCAATTTTGATTGCGTAGTGGATTTAATCAAAACTTTGCGTGGGGTTACAACCCGTCGACTCTTTGGACAACCATTGATTTTGTGATAAGTCCAACACAATCACTTATATACATGTGGTAAAATTTGTTCATCTATTTCTCCAATTTTGCAGCAATCTAATTGTGGAAAATGGAGGCTTGAGTTTAGGGTGTAGGAAAAAATACCTCAAAAATCTAAAAATTTGAAATCCCAACAAAAGAAATTAGAAGACAAAAAATCTAAAATCTTGTAATCCCAACAAAAGATATTAGGAAAAAAAAACAAGTCTTCTTACCAACAGTGAACCAGACATATTACACTATACAATTGATTTTTGACAATAATTTTTTTTTTTACAGTAAATAAATTTGTTGGATCCATGTGGTCTTGGGGTAGTTGCAACTGGTGTCCTATTCCCTAAACTCGCCTAAAAGTTTTTTCACATTTATAATTCAGGGATATGTTTTATTTCGTTTGATCCCAAAGCAATATATAAGGATATAAGGGAACATAAAACATCATGAAAAGACTTAGAAGACACGATCAAAGAGACTATTGCTTTTTTTGTTTGAATGATATGAAATTTACGAATGCACATATTTTAGAATTGTATAAACAAAACTACACACAAATCAATTTAAAACAAAATATAGTAAACCCACACTTTACTATTTCTCTCTTGTTCTTTTTTTGCTTAATATAATATATGAATTTAATTTAACAAAAGGGATCGATGCATGGACACTAGACATTCAGAAATGTCAAGATCCAAGCCAAACTATTTCAATCATCACAATACATAACATACTTTTTTATGTTAATAGCTTACTTTATTACTCATTTTGTTTTATTTTAAATGATATTCAAGGTTTTTACAATAAATAAATTAAGAAATCATTAAAAAAAAAGAATTCTAAATTCAAACACAACTTATTATATATCTAAAACAATTTGATACAAAGGGAGTACTAAAACTGAGAATTTACAAAATAAGGCATGTAGCTGTTTTATTGAGATAGATACTGACATATATTAAACACACATTTAAAGCACAACAATACATAACAGGGAAATTAAAAGCACAATAAATAACATATTAATTGGCTTTGTTGGCCAATCCTCACCAAGGATCATTATTTTTCATCAATTATTGGTAGACCGACAATCCTTCACTTCCTAGTTAACGAAACAAAGAAATTAACGGTTGGTTTGTTGCGCAAGGTATCATAACGTCGGCCTGCATGATATATATACTTCTCAAACAGCCGATCGATAATGGCGTCTCCAAAATGAGCAACAAGCATTGGTTCAATGATGGATCTTGCCAGGTTAGCCCTCTTTTTAACCACTTCAAATCGACGTGAATGGTCCACATCATCATCACAATCATCTTTCACTTCACTACGACCAGTTTTGTACGAAAAGAGAAGCCCAAATATTGTCTCAAAATTGTTGATCTCGAATGAGCCCTCGTTGTCGATAACTTCCTTCACCTCACTTTCATCAGGATTGTAATACGGCAAATTGAAAGATTCCAAATCTGATTCCTTCACAACTCCCTGCACACTCAAAACATTCCTCCATAATATTATTGTAACTACTACGATCAGGGCTTTAATCTCATCATGAAAGTGTGCATTCACCCAATATTTTTGATTTTAAAAAAAAAACAGCTAACTTGATATTTAAATAAATTTTGTGTCCATAAATATCTTACAACATTAATTAAATTAAATTTTGACTTAAAAATTGTACATAATAACTGGCAAATAGTTATCATTACAAAATATTCAAATTAGAGTTACTAACTTATTATATAGATTATTACTATAGAAGGAGATTAATTAACGTACTCTCATCTAAAAGAAATCATGAATTAAGGTCCAGAATTTTTTGGTTACCAAAACAAATTAAGAAGTCTGATTATAGTGAGTACCTCAGACACCAAATCGAGGAGGGAATCAGATACCAACGACCAATCTTTGAAACAATCTTTAGATAAAGGGTCCAAAGTTTTTCTGCCCACTAAAGTGAGAGCCATGCGTCCACTAGGCATTGTCTCTTCCGCACGCATTCTTAGAAACGTTGAGAAATCATTCTTAAACTGATTCAAATAACTCTCGTACAAACTTGGAGGGCATGGACTTCTAAGATACACGTTCTTCTTATTTTCCTCAAGCCCATCAGGAACTTTAGAAAGCCAGTGGAGACAAAAAGATGAATGGACAAAATGAAGAGACTTGCTTGGGAAAAGCCTTGTGTAGAATGAGCCTGGAGATCCTGAGACAAAGCACTTTCCTTTAATATTCATCTTCAGTTTCTCGTGGAAGGAAGGGATCAACTTGAAAGTTGTGTTGAAGTCGTTGTCTGGAAGATCGTTCAGACAACAATCGATCTCGGGTGGGTTTTGACCCTTTTGTTGGTATGTTGTTATGATTGTGTTAACGATTTCAGACATAACCAAGAACGTGTTTTCTCCGGAAGAACATCCCAAGTCGGCCACTTTGATGCACCCAGGAAAATCCATTTTCACTATCATTTCGTTTACGCTCTTCACCACCTCCGGTTTTGCATCAGAAGTAATACTTTTCTAAGAAGTTAAAAACTGAAATTAAATTATATTATGAATAAGCTTGAATCAACAAAAGATACTCGCATTTGATGCCATAAAAAGAAAGAATAAAAAGAAAAATAAATAAAAAACCTTAAAGATATAATTAATTATATGATATGCCATTAAATTATGGTAAAAGATACAGTTTTCTTTAATTAATGAAGATTTTTTCTCATTTTCTTAGAAACACTTACAAATTAGTTTAATCATTCACGTAGCACGGGACATCATTATATATAGAAAAGTATTTATTCAAATCATTAACTAGTATATATTGATATGCAATATATATTTGCCAAAACTTAACTATGGTTCATATGTTATAGATAAGACAAGTACTTACCTGCGCCTCAGAATTATTAGCATAACTGTGTTCTCCATCTCCACCCTTCATGCTAAGAACACCCATTAGAGAGTCCTTAGTATTTATAACACAATTTTATTTGGTTGGATGAAATGATGAAAGTCGACATTGGGGTACAAATATATAAACACAAAAGGGGTGCCAAGTAAGACCTTCGGGAAGACATGAATTATGGACGAAAACATATGGATCCTGGAAATTAAATCTTTCAAATCCTTTTTATTAATGAATCTTTCAAATCTTTTTTATTAATGAAAGGGTCTGATTTTTCTATATTTAATGTGTGCGTTATTCAATGTTTTTTTTTTTTGGTTTTTTTCTTTATCGTGCTGACAAAAAAAATACAGTAAAAGCTATAGATATTGCAACTACAATACGATATTTTGTTAATATATCGATATATTAATTCATCTGAGAAACTAATTTGGAGATTTTATCGAGTATTAATTTTTATAGAGGATATATTGTAGTTTGCTTTTTTTTTTTACTCTTATGCTATTAAACTGATTTGAATACAAATCAATTTTGTGATGGAGATTAGTAAAAGAAAGAGTATATGTTAGTTCAAAATATGCTCCCTACGTTTTAGTTAGATATTTTAGATAAAAGTGCCAGATTTAAGAAATACTTTGAAAGTTTGAATTGTAATAATTTTGTTGTTTTCGACATTAAAATCAGAAATTAAAACCCAACCTAAAATATTCAACCAATAGTAAAATATATTGCAGAATATTAATGATTACAAAAGTAAAATATATTTTTATTATTTCGAGAGTTACTTTTGTATTTTATAAAATCTGATATGAACGGTCCAATTTCGAGTTGATAAGCAGAGGGGATATCAATCATACATGTTCATGGGCATGAACTTTTGGAAAACGAACAAAAACCATTCTCTGAGTATCTTCCCCAAATGGGATTGAGGTCCTTGATTATCCGATCAAGAAGCAGGAGCTAGGTAGAGTTCCAAAACGAAAAATGTCGTAATCCTTCCCTTTCTCAGATGTTCTCGGGAGTACGGAGGCAGGGACTTGAACTTTAGGAATATCATTCTCTAAAAACGAAGGGTTTCCATTTTCTTGAGATTATGTAGGGAATATTTGAATCTGACTGCCCGACAAAGAGGTGGACCAATGTTTGGTATAGAAGAAATAGGAACCGTGATCAAAGAGTTCAAAACCTTTGAATATCGCTCTCTTACTCTCTATCCATACCATATAGAAGAAGAAAACTTGTATCGATTTTTATCCACTGTTACATTCTTAGTGGTTAGTGGTCCTTTTTTATAATGCGCATAGTCATTCATTCTTTGATTAAACATCTATTGCAAATAGACTAAAAAGGTGTGTTTTACAAAATAAATCACAAAGGGTAAATTACATTTAATTATTATTCGCTGAAAACAGTTATTCAAACACAACAAATATATGCATATATATATATGAAGCTCATATTAACTAGTCGTAAGTTTTACAAAGGGGTAAAGCTCATACCTAAAATTACAACTTGTACTCAAAAATCTTCCTCCTTGTTTACCGTTGCAGCATTTGGGAAACTTCGCAAGAATCCAGTTCAAACACACACTACAATTTTTTATTGATAAGTCTTGTGTACACTGCACCATTGCGTACAATTTCATCTTCCCGAGACTTTCCTCCCCTGTTGCATATAAGTAATTTTTCTTGTTGGGGATGTTTTCTTTACTACTTGCTTTCTCCTTCAGCTTATAGAGGAGAGCCCTCGTCTTCTCGTTGAACGAATTTGTATCACCGCTCACATCCTTTGCATTGGAAATATAGAAATTGTTCTGGTAATCGATCTTGCCATACGTATGAAACGTTAAAATTGTGAGAACACAGTTGTCGTACCATATTATTCTTTGTTGTTGGGACATCTTCTACTAACCTGTCATATATACATATCAAGAACTATTGTTTTCTTTGGTACTATATAATATGTATTGTTTCGTTTGGTACTATTGTTAAAATGCAAATCAACAACTAAACCACACCCAATATAGTATCAGGATGAAAAGGTGTAACCAAAAACTAATGTACATGTGTGTGTGCGCGCATTTGTATATGTAAGTATGTGACAGCTAATCAACAATATTCAAATGACGTTACCCCAGAGAAGGCGGTATCAAGGCAAGAGCGGCACTTGGATGTGGAGGAGTCCCCCCGGCACTGGAGCTTGACGTAGATGGAATTATCACCGCTAAAAACGACAACGTCGCCTAAAATTGAGATAGAAATCATTTGGATGAGATTGTTAAGATCTCTCTCGTCTTTACTACCTGACTTGTATGTTCCTTGACGATTAAGGCATATGTGGTGTAGATACTCATTTGTTTGGTTTAGGGACAAAACACACTGTACAAAAGAGAGTTGCATGGCCACCATGGCCAAGATAGGGACCGAAAAGAGTCGTTTTGTTACAAAGGATGAAGACATTGTTTGGATTTTGATATGTACCGGATGGAGGATGTTTGCTTTGTTATATAGATTGTGAAGAAGTTGGGATGATTATATAGGAGACTGCAGAAATCGATACTGAATGGCAATGTTTTTTTACTTTATTTGATAATTATGAGAAGAGTACTTAATTTAGTTTTTATTTTGTGGCTACATTATACTAAATTTGATTGCTCAATTCAGTTTTTAGAAGTTATTTTTATCGGTAATTGACAGGGGATATATGTTGGGGGGTTGAGACTTGGTATTTGCGGCGAGTGAAGTGGAGGACCGATGAACAAGTCAAAATTAATCATATTTGTACACTAACAGCCTCCATGCAAATAATATACATCTAGAATAACTTACTGCTGTATATTTATAACTCTAGAATAACTTGCAAATTTTATCAAAAAAAAAGAAAAAGAATAACTTGCAAATGATCATATACAAACCTGGAGAGTGCAAGGAGTGTAGATGTATCTCTTAAACGTCAAAACTAAATCTCCTTAATTTCAATGACTTCATAACAATGTCAACCACCTCCTTATATTGTGTGAGTAGTTTAATTATTATTATTTATTTTTTTCGTTGAGTTTATAAATATTATTGAAATGAAGGTTTAGGAATTACAAGGAGCAAAACCATAAAATAGTAGTTTAATTCTTTTCTTTTTTAAACTAGGATCGGACCCACGGTCCACCGCGGAAGAATATTGGTTTACATACGTTACGTTTAATATTGTGTGTGTTTTTTAGTAGAACGAATCGTGTAGTATACTTATAAATATTCATAATAACGAATTGTAGAGAAAATGTAAAATTGTTTATAAATATACCCATCGTATTAATTATGATTTACAAAATAGAATTTTGTGTTTTAAAATTCTAAAATTAGACGATTCATGGGAATTAGAGCAGTCAAAATAGGTCAAAAACCGCGGGTCGAGCCCACATCATCTCACTATGGGGCAGATTTGGGAAAATATATTAAACCCGCAAATAAGCGGGCCACATGGATTAATTCGCAGTGGGTCATAGGTTTAATCGGTTTTCATCCGCGGGTTGGCGGATCAGCCCGCATATTAGTATTTATTGATAAAATTATAATTTATTCAACATGTGGTAATTTAAACAAACTTTTAATAGTATTTTGATTTATTTATTTATTTTAGTAGTATTTTAAATTTTGGTTACTTTAAAATTATTTAAACAAAATCCATGGACAATCCCGCAAATCCGCATACATTCGCGGGACGGGTTTGTATTTCATATATGCTATCCGCGGGTCGTGCTGACCGACTAACTACAAGTCAAAATATTTTTTGTCTATCACAAAACGGATTTAACGGGACGAATCAACTCGCTTTGACAGTTCTAATGGGAATATTATTTAGTCATACAACAAAATGAAGTTTGGACATAGTAATAATAGAATATGTATCTTATTTGTTAGATTAGAGATTGAAAGATGAAGTATAATGATTAAAAATTAATTATTATTTTTCATGATTCACAAAATTTAATAAATACTTATCATCTTGTTGAATAATTCTAAAATCATATTCAAGAAATCTTTATAAATTGAAAATTAAACTTCTTTGGTAAGCTATAGGTATGAAAATATCATAATTTCGATTTAATCTAATTAAATTCTCGGACATCTCTTACGAAGAAGCTGCCGTAAACATTTTGCATGTTAAAGCCACAGGCCCACTATCAATATCAACATTGCATGGAATAATTTACATATAAGATATAGTTTCTCTTGTTTATATTTATCTTTTAGATCTAAGCATAAATGACATGTCACGCATATTTATACATTATGTGAAAGCTTGCTTATTAGTAATACTCAAGTATGTTACCTCATAACCGGCGGTGACAACGCAGGACTGGCACTTGGGCCCGCGAGAGTCGACACGGCACTGGTAAGTGATGGCGACCATATCAGGTTCTTTACCGTAGGCCTTCATGCTGAAACCAGTACGAAACCCATACGAATTTTTATCTTTATTTGAAAAGCTTTGGATGATATCATCGAGGGATTTCTCGTACTCGCTTCCCGGCTTGTATTTCCCTAGACTGACTAAGCATTTGTGGTGGAGATACGAATTGGTAAGGTTGAGTGAAGAAACGCTGTGTACAAGGAGGAGTTGTGTGGTCACCACGACGACGGTAAGGTAAAGAACAAAGCGTTTTGATATAGATGATGACGAATACATTGTTTTGGATTGATTTTCTATTTTTGTTTCCAAGAGGGGTGGTTTTGTATAGATTTTTAGCGTTGAGACTGATGTTTATGTAGGAGACTCGGGAAGAACTTTGTGGCAACAAGAAGGCCGACGAAAAAGTAAAAGCTCCAAGGTGTGACTGAGTTCAAACAATTACAATCACACGATTCTACGATGACGACCTGAAATGAAGGAATTGTTGATTTCTATAATTACAAGATTTTTTGTTTTTTTGTCCAACATGGTCGATTCCAATATTCAGATTTCATCTAATAGTATATATTTGCTAATTTATCATGTTTTTGTGTTTCTATATAATATATGTATCAAAGAAAATTGCTTAATTTAAAATGCTTAAAAGCTAGATCCTGAGATAGAAAGTCTAAAACAGATTAACGAGGAAAACTCTACAAACAAGAGAAGAGAGGCAGTTATGGTTGAACATAGTTGCATATTATACAAAAATGGCCAAACCCATAGAAAATTTAACTTTTATAAGAATTTCAAAATTTATGTGATATACATCATATAGTTGGCTATCTTTTTCACATTTGAATATTCGGTTACTCGGATCGGATTTTCGAGATCCTCTAAACAGTTAAATTTGTTCATTTAGGGAATGTCGGATATGCTCGTAGAACTGTAGAGCATCAAGTAGGTGACTCTTTCATTAAGGGAATAATCGAATTACCTTTGCTTCTCCCCCCGCCTCTTACAAACGAAGATGGTACGTTAAAGTAGCATAGTTGGGACGGTCTCTGGAAGGAAATATGAGTTTGTTCTCTGATATAGTGTTTTAGTCAATTAAATTCCTAATGCACTAATAATCCCATGGTTAAAGTACTTAGGATCAAACCACAAAGAGCAATCAATTAACTCATCATCAAGAATACACAAGTTCACTTAATCTAAGCTTAACAAGAGTTTGATTTTGGTTTTCAAATACAAACTTAACTAAACAAAGTAATTATAATCAAATAATACAAATCAAAGCAAAAGACAACAATATTCAAAAGACTAACACAATTCAAAATCAAACAAAGCGGTTTGAAAATAGATAAAAGGCGAATTCCCGGGTTAAGGTATTCGATAAAGATGATCAAGACATGATTTATGGAGCTTAATACAACTCCTAACAACTGATCCTTCGGTTATAGATCACCAAACAAGACTCATTCATTTGCATGATATTAATCACTTTACTAATCATCAACAATTTTCAAAGGAAATCAAATGATCAATAAGCATTAATAACAAATCTATCTAGCCATTAATCACCCTAGTCAACAATTTCCAAAGTTAAAGAATGAAAATTCAAAAATTAATTATATAGAATCGTTTACTTAAAGAAATTTACTTCAACTACATCATATGATATTTTACTAAATAATAGAAAGAAAAAAATCACGTTAAATAAGGGGAAATTTGAAGCTAAAAAGAAAAGAAAAAATATATTCTAAAAGCAACATGTTCAAATTGCTCTAGAACTTGGTGTAGTAAGGACCCTTCGGGTTAATAAAAGGGTAAAGCTCATACCTAAAGTTACAGTTTCTACTCAAAACTCTTACTCCTTGTTTACTTTTCCAGCATTTTTGAAAATGCACTATATAATATAGCATACACTCATTACAACCTTGAACAGATAAGTCAGCCGAACACTGCACCATTCCGTATAGATTCTTCGTCCCCAGTCTCTTCTCCCCCGCCGCATACAGTACCGGTTTTTTTATACCTTCTATGTTTTTATCTATTTTAGTGACGGCCATCTTTGTCAGATTGTTGAGGAGATGCAACCTTTCTTCTAAAGGAATTGAATTGCCGATCAGGTTCTTCGCGCTGGGCATACAGAAGTTGTCGTCGTAATTAATCTGCCCAGAAGTATCTGACGAAGAAAACTCCACAAGACATTGGTCGTACCATATTATTGCCCCTTTATCTCTCGGACATCTCTTACGAAGAAGCTATCATAAACATTTTGCATATTAACGCCACAGGCGAACAATCAATATCAACATTGAATGGACTAATTTACATATAAGATGTAGTATCTCTTGTAAATATTTATCTTTTAGATCTAAGCATAATGACATGTCACCAGGGTTATTTTAAAAAATGTGGCCTTAATATTTAAGGTACCAAATTTATTTATATTTAACTTTATATATTTTTAATATTAGTTACATTGTATACAAAGTAAAATGAATTTTTTTGAAAAAAATAAGCTTTAAATTTTTTTTTTCAGAGAATATGTTCAAATACTATATTTTAACAAA